CTGAGGGTTCCTATGACATATGTGTGGACTGGGGATGACACCCCCTGCTTGGGGGCACCGGGGACTCTTCTAGGTTTCCCATCCCACTGTTCAGGTTCCCTCCACAGTGTGTGGTGGGGCAGTGATTGTCCTGCTCATTCATCCCCAGACATTGAGTGGCAGCAGAAACAGAAGAGAAAAAAAAAAGAAGAAAAAGTACCAGAACCCCAATCTTAGCTGACTTCCCTCTTGTCACCCTCGAAATAGGGAAGGGTGGCTAAGAGCTGTGCCACTAACCTAAGTGTCTCAGAGCACGAGGAGTTCATAAGGCCTCAGGTACACTCAAGAGCAGGTACACTCAGGAGTGCCATTTGGTCTGAGAACGCAGGAGGATTGGCTGTGTAGGGTCCCGAAGCAACATGGCGCCAGTTCCAACCATTTCTCCCTTGGGCTCTCCCCTTAGCTTCTGCCCCAGTGGCCCCTGGGAAATTAACTTCCTAATTCAGTACCATAGTCTCCCAGCCTTTATAGTAGAAAGAAAATCAGCCCGAGACAGAGGTTACCAAAGGTCTGGGATTGGGAGATACTAAATTGAGGTAAGTAGACTCTCTGAGCACTTCCTCCAGAGGGACACAAGAAAAAGTTTGTTCCTGGCCTTTTTCTGATCTTCATTCCAAAAAAAAAAGTGATGTGAAAGGTCTCTTTGGACTCAGCTGGCTGTGCCAAACATCTGCCTTGCTCAAGGCCTTCTGCGCGATATGTGCTATCCACCTCTCTCCCCTGCCAACTCAGTGCTCGCTTTGCCAGGACAGAGCTCCATTCTTGGGAAAATGACCCAGGGGAGACCCACTCTGACCTCTGATACAGAATTGGGGTGGAAAGAGGGTCATGCAAGGGAACTATCCTCCACCCGATCCTCCATGGGGCTTGAATTTGTGCCCCAAAGAACCCTGTGAGCTGCAGGGAACACTACAGCCCCTTGTCAGCGGCTGAGAGTAATAATGTTGTGTGTGTTGTCCTTCAAATGCCCAGGCAAGGAGGAGGTCGTGCGATGTTTATTCAAGACTGCTGGGAGGGGTGAGGCTGGGCGTGAGAAACAGAGGCCCAGAAGCAGGGGGAGTATGCTCACAGTCCCATCCCACCCCACACAGATGCGCCTTTCTCTCCTGCAGCACATAGAGCCATGGGGTGGAAAGGACCACATGAGGGAGATGGAGTGAGAAGGGCCGGGCTGGGCCCACGCCATCAGAGGATCCCTGGGCTCAGGAACAAAGAAGCCTGAGGAGCTGCCCTCATCCAGCAACCTGCTCCGTGTCCTGATGTGTCCACTCAACCCGGATCAGCTCTATGCTTTAGGACGTTGAACCAGAGAGGAGTACCACTGCCCCCCCCCCACTGAGACCTTCTCTAAAGAATCTCCATCAAGATCCCTGCATCTATACCCCCTCTCTTCACCCTGACCTATTTTCTGCCAAAACCCCCTGCTCTGCAGACCTGAGGTCAAAGACACCTCTCGGCCACATGACTCCATGTTGGCCATGGTCCCACCTGTACTTAGAAGGGGACACATAGGAAAAAGAGGAGGACAAGCTAGGTTGGAGCAAGGCAAATTGCTTGTGGTAGCTCCTCATTGTCCCTGGAAGGGTCTGTGGAAGGGCCAGATGTGATGGGAAATTTACGCCTTGAGATAATCAGCTCCAGACCAGTGCTGCCATCTTCCCCTGAGAGAGGAGAGTGCTGATGGCCGAGCCCAGGGAAGCTCCAAGAGACAAAGCTATACTTCTGGAGCTGTTGGGGACTGCTCAGGAAAGCTAGGGAGAGGGAGGAAGTAGGGACTGGGAAGGAGGGGGAAAGGAGAAAGGGAAGGTTCATTTGTCCACTGCTATGCTCCCAACAAAATTTAGTCTTCAGGTTTCCGTAAGCTTAGAGACTCAGCCCAAGATAGACATAACTTTTGAAAATAATCAATTCTCAGCAAGGAAAAAAAAATGCTGTGTGGTCTTCTCTTGTTCTTTCCACGAAACAATAAAATTTGGCTTCCTCATTGGTTCTACCTGTATCTTTAAAAGACAAAATTGTAAGACCAGGGGTCCACCTCATGAAATAACTACATGAATGTGCTTCACCCAAAGGTGAGGTAAAACAGAAATACAAAATAGAAATAAACAGAAATAAAAAATAGAAATAAACAAAAATAGAAATAAACAAAATCAAAGATACAATAGTTGTCCAGTTTTCAAACATTCTATGTATCTAGACAGGCCCCCATCAATGTACCCCTGGATATTTCCATTCTTTGTTGTTGCTCCTACAAACATCATAACAAACAAGCTCAGATATGGTAAGTATATTTTATTTTCAGAATACAGGCATCACAGTAGAACTCCAAATAATTAATTAATTTTTTAAATAAAAGAGAAGGTCACATCCATGTGATTCCTGGTACCTGCATAATCTTTTATATTTTCTTGTTGCTGTTGTTGTTGTTTAATTATGCACTGTGATTTACAAAGCTGTCAATAGCAGAGTTTTAGAATTTCAATGTTCCCTTCTCAAAACCACTACCAGAGTCAGCATCCTTCTATCAGTGACCCACATTTTCTTCCTGCTCTCTCTCCTGCCTCCTTAGAAAACTCACTTAAAAAAATTTTTTTAATTATTATGGTTTGGGTCACATGTTTACTATAGTGTTGACCCTCATGGTTTTGTTGTACATAGTTACCTCCCACCTAAACCATTGAAATGTCCAACACCCTTGACCAATACTCATGTTATAATCTGTCTACCTCTTGTTGCTTCCCTCACTTTCTTGGATTTCTCATTTCTATAATCCAGGGCTAAGGGTTTGCCATCATTTGGTACCTTCCATTTCCTTGTCTTCATAAACTATTTCTTAAAGAATCTCAAATACTAATATCAACGATGGCTTCTAGGCAATCAAGGTCTTATTTTTCCCAGTGCAATGAATCCTTTTAATCTTTCAAGTGTATACATGTATTTTATTACCTACTAAAAGTCAAAAAAGATTGGTTTAAATTTTTATTAAAAGGGTAAGAAAGAACAAATACTATTACACATGGCCCCTTGAATCATCATGAGGAACCTACAAGACAAGCTCAAACTCAAGTTTCACTGTGTCTGTGTCATAGGCTAGGAAATCTATCCAGAGGTTTCAGGACCCCAAACAAACAGGCAAAGCCAGTCAGTGGCAGATACCTGGGTCATCCTCCCTCAAAGGGGAAAAAATAAAATGGACCCAGGTGAGGTCTAAATAGGGATCCTCTTGCTGATCATCCATATCACATCCAAGAAACCAACACTAGGTGGGTCTGGAACAAGGAAAAAGGGAGGCCAGCCTCCAAAATGTTTCAATAGGCAAGAATTTTTTTGTAGAATGAAGTGAAAAAGCTAAGGAGGTAATAGTACTGACTTGTGGCCTGGCCATTGAGACTTTTAGACTAGTGTTTCTCATAATTTAACATGACTTTGATGGGTACAATCAATGGAATTTGACAAAACACAGATGCTAATGCATCAGGTCTGGAATGAGGCCCCAGATTCTGCATCTCTACCAAGTTTTCCAATGACGTCTAGAATGTAGCTCTCAGTCACACTCACCACTAGAACTAGAGGGCAACTGAACACCTGTCTTGTGACTTGTCCACCATGAGATGAGCTTAACATGCAAAATGCATGCTGGAACGCAAAGATGAAACTCTAAGGAAAAAGAATTCAAACATCTCATTCCTAATTCTGCTATCAATTACATATTGAAATAATATTTTTGAATCTTTAGGGTCACTACACATAAAATCATCACTACAATTAACTTCACCTACTTATTTTAATAGACTGGAGCAATAGCAAAGCAGTAGGGCATTTGCCTTGCACACAGTCAGACCGGCCTATCCAGGTTTGATTCCTCCGCCCCTCTTTGAGAGCCCAGCAAACTACGGAGAGCATCTCGCCCACGCAGCAAAGCCTGGCAAGCTACTCGTGACGTATTCAATATGCCAAACACAGTAACAACAAGTCTCAAAATGGAGATGTTACTGGGCCCGCTCGAGCAAATCGATGAACAACGGAAGGACAGTGCCAGTGACTTATTTGAATGTGACTATTGAAAATGTACAATGGCACATGTGACTTTCCTTATATATCTATAGCAATGTATTGTAGCGGGTGCCCTGGGTGTCCTCCAGTTTACCTGAATGGGGTGATTGGAGCAGCCTGTTATTGCCTGGTATGCTTTTAAGGGTGTGTAAGCTATCCAAGGCCCTTGGAGAATTTTGCTGGAAGCACACTGAAGAATTTGTTCCCCCCCTACCACTAATAGAACCTCTTACACAAGTAAAGTAAGGGTTGAAGTCAGCCATCAAAGCCAACATAACCATGGAATTGTGACTGAAAACATTCCCAGCCTGAGATACCTGCAGCCTCAGGGGTTTGTGTGGTAAGGCAGGGGTGTAGGGATCTACACCATGGTGGTGACAGCAGGAGGGAAGTGTGTTAGCCAGATACTTGCCCCACCTCACCCCAGATGCGTTCCCCAGCCCAGGCAACCCAAAGCAGGCTCTCCTTAGAGTGAAGGGCCCATGGCCATCTGGGTTTGCTGTTCCCAATGCAGGTCTGAAGACAGACATCAGTAGAACCATAATAGGTCAATCATAAAGAAAACCAACCACTTTCTTCTAGGTGATCTCAAAGCCAAACAAGAGGCAGATTCTGCCACTTCCAAGTCCCAGGCAGGTTCTGTTAGCAGTGTAGGCCATTTCCAAGTAAGACGTCCAGAATTTCAGAGTCAGGGAGTGGGGCAGAGGGAACACAGTCTCTGTCTTGGCCTTCCTCCTCTGGAGGTACAGAAAAGGAGACAAGAGGAAGGAGGAGGAACAGGCCTGGGACTGAAAAGAAAGAAGATCGGGTGGACTCATGGACATGTGGGTAAATTCAGCAAAACCTCTGGCTGAGGAAGTGAAGCAGCCTGTCCGGTGCCAGGCCCACCAACTCCCGAGGGTACTGACCAGGTTTTATTTCCAGCAACCGCAGCTTTGGGTCCTCAGGTGGGTGCAATCGTCTCTTCTTCCGCCAGCATCGAGCAGGGTAGGTGTACAGTTGGCCTGGGGCAAGGCCTGTGGACAAAACAGGGGAAAGGTTAAAGCCTGGGGCTGGGGAGGAAAAAGCCTGGAACAGTGAGGCCACTGGTCACAGCACTGGCTGCACACAAAGCAGAGGCAGAATCCAGGTCTGTGGAGCTCTCTGTCCCCCTGGGCTCTCTCAATGAACCCAAGGCTCTACTCCCCCCCCCCCCCCCCTCAGCTGTGCATCCCTAGTCTGCAGAGATAGAGGACCTTTCTGGACTTGGTTGCAACTCCCAGGCAGGGGTCGGGGTGGGGCCAGGTCTGGATGGCACGTTCCCTTCAGATGCAGGTGCATCTACCAGAGGTCAGTCCATGTCCCTCTCGACACCTAGGCTGGGAAGCATATCACAAAAATGGGATCACCCAAGATACAGCTCCACAAGCTGAGTGTGCACAGCAGTGAGAGGCCCAGGTGTGTGATCCCCAGCATAACACAGTCCCCTAACCAGAGGAGCCCCTAAACACTTCTGGGTGTGCCCCCCCAAACAAATCAAGATGTAAGATAAGGCTCAGAAATTCTTCCATCTAATGTGAGATGTCTGAACAGAGACAACATCACATTCCGCAGTATCTTTTAACAACTATACCTCTATAATTTGCAATTCAAAACAAATTATTGAAAATAAAATATTGACAAAAGCTTAAAGAAGTATGCATCAAATGAAGCTGCAACTGAAAATTACTTTCAAAAAACAAAATCGTTGCAAGGAAAGGGGATCAAGGACCTGATCTCTTACCTCCTGACTTCCTTCACCCCATTAGCAGCCAGCAGCTTACTGATGCCCAAGAGATCCCCGTGCATCTCCCACAGAGTCACACATTTGGGGTGAGAGGCTGTAGGCCGGTCCCTGCCACTGAGCCTACCGCCCCGCCTTACCCTGTCCACTGCCTGGGCCTTACAAGCACAGCATGGGGAGGCTGGGGGTTGGCCTTCTGGCTGCGGGCTTGACTGCCTGCCCACAACATGTTCTGAGTTGCCTTTGAAACCAAAGCTCCACAACAACAGCATCTGGGGGCCCAAGCACTCCATGAGGGATCTTCTTGCTCATCAGACAAAGCTCTCATGGCTCCTGTGACACAGAACAGATAGCCAGAGGTCTGGAGAGACATGGCTCCCACCTCTAACAACAGTTAATCACAGAGAAAAGGGGAGGGGTGGTGAGGGGTGGCGAGGGAGGGAAGAAGACATCTTGACACTGGGGAAGCAGTGAGGACCCTAAAACAGGCTCCTTTGTGCACCCCAAACAAACCAGTCAGCCAACCAAATCATCCCTCCTAGAGTAAAATAGGGACTTGGTCTCATTCTCCTTGGAATCCTCTAATCCAGAACTAAATCTGGCACTGGAGTGGAGCTGGGAGATAGGTCAATGGTTAGGGAGTGTGACTTTGCATCAGCCCAACCCAGGTTCAAACCCCAGTATTTCACGGTTGCCTGAGTATCTCTGGAGGCTGCCCTGGGAGTCCCAAGCACCACAGAGGTAGCCCAGGTATTCCACAGCAGCACCCCTGAAAAAAAGAAAAGAAACATTGGCTGAGTAAATGGATGTGACCCAGCTTCATTTTCCTTGGTGGTGACTGATAGATGCAGCCTCACTTGGAAGGGTCACTGTCTTGCCCTAGGATATGGGGTTCAGAAAACCTCAGGACCCTCTTCTCATCTGCTGTCTTCCTCTCTTAGGTGTCTTCCTCTCATGGAGACCTTTAAAGGTTAAGAGGAAAACTGGCTTCATGCACGCCTTGGCAGAGGAAAACAGAACATTTTGTTGCTCTATCGCCATTCATTTTTCATTTTCCTTTTTTATTCATCTTCTCCAACTCCAGCGTTTCGGTCTAAAGCAGAGGCATCTATTCCAGCATGAAAGGAGTGCAACTGTCCCAATTCTCTCCACGAGCCAGCTCTCAGTGTTCATCACCCAGCTGTTCCCACTTGTTGTAAGGCTGGGTACAAGTTAGACATACTGACCCCTTTGATTCTTAAAGGTGATGGAGCCTTGAGGTGTCTGGAAAAAAGATCTCTGGTGCTATTAACTGAGGATATACTATGTCCAAGAGACATCCTAAATACTTGGTTTTTGTTGGAAAGTTTAATATTTCTGCAAAGCACTTGGAACTGAAGCTCTGAGTGCCCAGAGTATATGGAAGATCAGACTAATGGCTGATTTCCAGATTACATGAATCCCCACAAGGCGAGCTTGCTTAAGGAAAGGCATCATTGGGAAGAATTTTGTGTTCAATGTGGTGCTTTTGAGAGTCAGGTCATCCCTGATCCTGAAACTTCTTTACGGGAAGAATGAGTCTGGGTTCCCTCTCAAAGGTCAGGGCAACTTTTGGCACTCCTCAGGGTCCCAGAGAAGTTCAATTATAAGGATTGCTTGATATTCTTTATGTCCCAAACAATCTTTCTCATCGTATGTTATTCTTAATCCAGGCTAAAACTATTACCTTTTTTGTTCTTTCTCAGCAGTTCTCAGGGCTTACTCCTGGCTCTGTGCTCAGGAATCACTGCTGGTGTTGTTCAGAGGACCATATATGGAGCCAGGGACCAAACCAAAACCATGTAAGGTGCATGCGAGGCAAGCACCTTAACCCCTATACTACCTCTCTGACTCTAAAAATCACTTTTTATTAATACTAGGGTCCCAAATCCACACCAGACACACCCAATCCAAGTGGAGAGGTGATGGGGTGAGGGATTTGGACAACCATTTTTCAAGGCAAAGGTAAAGGTAAAGGCCCTCCCGTTGATCGTCGATTTGCTCGAGCGGGCCCAGTAACGTCTCCATTGGAGACTTTGTTGTTACTGTGTCTGGCATATCGAATACTCTCGGTAGCTTGCCGGGCTCTCCGAGAGGGGCGGAGGAATCGAACTCGGGTCGGCCATGTTGGCCGCGTGTAAGGCAAACGCCCTACCCGCTGTGCTATCGCTCCATATTGGCCAAATGTCTGGAAACCTCAGATCTCTAAGCACTACCTAGTCATTGCCTGCATGTTCTCTCTGATGTACTTAGTCTGGCTTAATGGTCCTTCCAGCTGGACCTCAAGTTTCCTGGGTTTCCTTCAGGACAGTATCATTAATTGCCTGATGACTGTATATTCTCCTCTACTAGTTGTTTAGGATGTAGGATGGCAGGAACCCTATCTACCTCTGTATCCCCAGTGTTCAGAACAATGCCCATCAGGCCCTTCAATAAACACTTAGTAAAATAAAACAACCACAAAGAACCTGAATTGAAAATGCAGGAAGGGTATGACCAAGGGCCCAGCTGTCCATGACTCCTTATCCAAACCACTCAAGCGGGACTACTGAAGCTGGGGGCTCTAGTTAGGATAGAAAAGGGACCAGTATGATAATAATAGTTGGAAATGATCACTTTGGACAAGAACTGAGTATTAAAAGTAGATAGAGGGTTATACCTGACAACCTTTCAGTATATGTATTATAAACCATAAAGCCCAAAAGGAAGGAGATATGAGAGAGAGAGAGAGAGAGAGAGAGAGAGAGAGAGAAGTGCTTGCCATAGAGGCAGGCGGGGACAGGTAGAAAGGAGGGAGGGAAACTAGAGACATTTCCATGGGGACATTGGTGTTAGAAATTGCACACTGATGAAGGGACTGGTGTTGGAACATTATATGACTGAAACTATGATGAAAAATTTTATAACTTATCTCACAATTTTATAACTGTGATTTAATTTTTTAAATTTAAATAATTTATTTTTTTCAAAAAGTGGACTCTGAGCTGAGCTCAATATCTAGCACACCCACCCCAGCATGGCAACCTCCCATGCTTTTGGTGTTTCTTGCCCTCTGAGGTCCTCCTGGGACTATCTAATCTCACCAAAACCCACTAACTGAGATTACTGATCCCATTCTCTCCAAAGGTCTGAGTGGCAAGACTAAAACTTGTTGGGCAGAAGAGATAGAACAGCCTTGCATGTGCCCAGCCCAGGTTCAGTCCCCAGCAGCACAAAATTTCCAGTAGAAATGATCCCTGAGCACAGAGCCAGGGCTAAGCCCAAGTACTGACTGGTGTGGCCCAAAATCAAGAAGAAGGAAGAGAAAAATAGCAAACTTGTCCACAGCTATCCTGGGGCTCTGTCCTCCCTGGGCAGAGGTCACTGTCCACAGCAGCAGCAAGGCAGCCTGGTGTCCCTTGGCCTGGAGCCGCTGCCTGGTGTCCTCTGAATGTCCAGAAGAGGAGCTGACTCTCATTTCATTCTTTCACTTTCTTTATGACCTGGAGACGTTCCATAGTCCATAAGAACAGTCCATAAGTCCTAGTCCCCCTCCCCTGACACCTGGAAAATGTCACACGTTTCCAAACCCAGTTCCCACCCTGTAAGATAAGGTAGAAGAATGCCCTCCCCTCCCCGCCCCCCCCCCCCACATTACCCAGGCGCCCTGGAATCACTTTCACCTGAGATGCAGGCTCAGCTCATGAGCACCCTGAGGCCTCCTTGGAGTCAGTGATGGATTCTCAAGCATTAGCTGACTTAGGTCAGTCTGGACTCTGTCCCAACAAGGCATGGCCAAACCCCCTGCCCACATATCCCTGCTGCCTGCTTGCTTCTCTAGCCCAGAAGATGGACTCAGGCCTCCTTTAAAGTCCACTTTCATTGTCCACTGGGTCTCACCGAGCTCTCAGCCCCCAACAGATCCCTTGAGACTGGGGCTCCGCTGCCTTGCACTGCTCCCTAGGCTGACAGACACCAGGGTGCCTTTATAGGGCCAACACATTCAGCCCTGGAGCTCCACTTATAGAGGGACAAGCGGAGCCCCAGAGAGTTATGTTGTTTATCTCATTAGAACAGAAGGCACATAACTTAAAGCTCGTGTGCATGGGGGGAGGGGTGGGGAAGGGAGGAGGAGGAGGAACATGAGCAAGTCACAGCTGCAGCCACGGAAATGAGGCTCAAAGAGTGAGCTAGAGGAACTATGGAGGGCGGGAGAGGGGAGGCGGGAGGCAAGAGTGACTCCCGGGAACCAAGGAC